CACACATTACTTGTCAGTTACATTATCGTTGTGGCTTCAGTACAGAACTGGAGAAGAAAGCACACAGCAAACATGTCTCCGCTGATTAAATACTGTACATGCGGGGATTAGTGGAAACCTGTGCATATTAGATTTTTCAATAAACTATTCCGTTAAATAAATGGATCTTACCGTTTCTCAGCGTTTCCCACAAACATGGTGTCGTCCTGCCCCATGATCAGATAATCTGCATCAACTTTCAGCTCAAACTCATCACACGTTAAACGCTGGAGCACTTCCCGCACTGCACCGTTCTGGATAGCCGAGTCCTTACCTTTTTTTTTTTTTTTTTTTTTTTTTTGTGTTAAAGCAAGCAGATTTATTGTAATCAGTCATAAACCAGTGCAAACTGAACTCTGCGTTCTGACATGCGCATTAGGTCTGATGCAGACTCACCTGTCTGAAGGACTTTAGTAATTAACGTGGAATAAGATGTAAACACACCATCGTTGCTGGAGTTGAGGATCTTGACAGTATAGACTGTTGGAAAAGCGTTGTTTATTTATTACGTGTAAAGTATTTCATGTTTAATGGAATATGAAAATAAATGACATGACTTACCATAATCAACAGTGGGTGAAAAGCAGGCATAAAAAGACCTCGTGTTCTCCTCCATGTTCTTACTAAAGGTGACTTTCAGCCGTGGACAGCCACCTACAGTGAACCACGCAGATGGCTGTCAGACTAATGCAGCTTTATTAAGGAATAAATACTTGCTGGCATGCTGTTACAGGAAAATAATCAAAGACGAGGTGGTGTGATGAGGCAGAGCCGATTATTCCTACAACAGCAAGCATTTTGTTCCTTTTATACCACCTTTTTATACCAATAGTTGCTTTTTAAACATTTCTTAAAGAGTAACACACACTTTTTATCCATTTATAGTTACATTTAATGTTGTGGACCATTCATGATATAATTTAGGTCTTGTTAACACTTTTCTTGTAGAAACGATAAACTGTCATTCCCTCTCCAGCTTGTCTTTTTTTCTCCCTCTCTTTTAAAGTTAATAAGATTAAAAAAAATGCAGCAAGTTGAAGGAACAGATTTACCTTAAAGCACTCAAACTGATTTTTCTCTTCTTTCATAAATGTTAAACGCATGTTTTTGTCCTTAAATAATATCACTAATTCCTGTAAACTAGCCATTACTATAGAAACAATAAATGTATTATCACAAAAGCAAGTGAGTACATTAATGCAAACCTGTAATTTGTATAATAAATTTAGAT